AACTAACCAGGCTTGGGGTGGTATGAGGGGTGGTATAAGGAGGCTTTGAGAAGGAGGTGATAATTGCTTTTATGAAGGATAAATAAAAGTTACTTAGAGGGAAGGAAATTTGAAGAGATAAGAAACAAGTTACATAAAAATAGAGGTAGAAACATCCCTTGTTTCTTTTTTATTTTTTCCTTCCTTATTTTTTCCTCTTCTACCCCAGAGAAAGAATGTAAAGGATTAAGCACTTAATGGTATTGTTACTAGTCTTTTAGAATTCTATGACATGGACCCCAAGGACAGTGGAATAATTAAGTTCCTAGAAAAATCAGTGAGTACTGTGAGTGAAAATAGATAAACTATAGATTCCTTCCATTCCTTCCTCCTAGGTCGTGCTCCTGTGTCTGCTGGATTTATTCCCTGTCCTGGAGAAAGCCCAGCAATGGAAGGGAGATGGAGCTCGACCCACCACGCACTGTGACGAGGTGCTGCAGCTGATCCTGACCCACATGGAGCCAGAGCACCGCCTTCTCTTACGCAGGACCTACGCAAGACACCTGCCCGCTTTCGTGAAGAGGTGAGTCCCTGGGCTGCTGGTCTGGGCATGCTCCCCAGCTTCAACCCTTTGGCATCACGTTTACTCTTTTGTCTTTAGGTTGGGGATCCTCACCGTCCGGCACATGAAGAGGCTGGAGCGAGTCATCATTGGTTATCTGGAAGTTTATGATGGACCAGAGGAGGAAGCTAGATTGAAGATATTGGAAACTCTAAAACTTCTCATGCAGCATACTTGGCCCAGGTATAGCAGACAGGTGTGCTAAAGGGAGTAAAACTCAAGCCGATTTTCTCTTCAGAACTTGCCCAGATGGACCTTCAGTACAAAGTATTAAGGACATGCCATATATTTGAATACCTCCCATTTTCACACTCCTATAGGAGTTTGAACTGAGCGGCTGGCATTAGAAAGATAAAATATACCTATAGTTACTTCAGGTGCTCATATTTGACCCTTTCGCCAGGCATGTTTAGATTCTGCCACTATTACATCACTTCTCTTTTAAACAAGTATATCTTAAGACTGGCTTAGATTGGTGCTGTGAAGAATATTCACCCAGGTGCTTTTTTTTTTTTTGAGACAGTCTCACTGTGTTGCCCGGGCTAGAGTGCCATGGCGTCAGCCTAGCTCACAGCAACCTCAAACTCCTGGGCTCAAGCGATCCTTCTGTCTCAGTCTCCCGAGTAGCTGGGACTACAGGCATGTGCCACCATGCCCGGCTCATTTTTTCTCTATATATTTTTAATTGGCCAATTAATTTCTTTCTATTTATAGTAGAGACAGGGTCTCACTCTTGCTCAGGTTGGTTTCGAACTCCTGACCTTGAGCGATCCACCCACCTCAGCCTCCAGAGTGCTAGGATTACAGGTGTGAGCCACTGTGCCCAGCCCCAGGTGCTCTTTGATGCCCTACAGGAAAAAAATATCCTATGGTCAAATAAGTTGGGAAACCTAGGTTGTACATCTTTCTAGATTTATAATGTATATTAGAGTATTAAAGGTCATTTAGAAGTGCTGCTATAAAGACATGCTTAATGTGTTCATCCTTAACACATTAACTGCCATGTGAGTTGTATTTAAGTCACCCTAGTTTTGAGCCCTGGGCCTCGTGAAAAATATGTAACTCACATGTCTCTTTACCTTGGGAGCCATGTGAACTGTTTTTCAAGTTGTATGTAACTCATAGATAGAAAATAATAAGAAATAACAAATTTTTCATTAAATTAGGATCGTTTTTGTTTTTGAGGTTTTTATTCCATTTTCATAATAAAACACTGTGGCCTCATGGAAAAATTTGTTTTTTTCTAGTGTGGCAGTCAATGTGTTAAATCTAATTGAGAGTGGAGTACTTAAGGGCACATCATTTCACATCTCCAGAGCAGTGATCAGAATGCTAATTTAGCATTTTGCTTGCTTTGAAAGCATTCCAGCTCTGGCTTGAGGTAGGTGTCAGGAATAAATTGGAACCCAAACTGTTGAGTCAGCGAAAGGCTTTCTTGCACAACTGAAAATTTAATTCAGCCAGAGAATCCAGTGCCCCAACAACATATAGTATCTATTCTGGACCATAGTCTCTCACTTCTTTATAAATGTACAAGGATCTAGAGTAACTTTGCCCATGAAGGCCTTTCCCCTAGTCACATTTGTAACTAGGTTGCATTTGTTTACTTTCTATCTTTCTCCATTGCTGAACTGTACACTCCAAGAAAATGGAAGACCATATCTATTACATTCCCCCAAAGTATACTTAGTACCTGGCATTAGGTACACAAATATTTGAAGAATGAATGGACATGAATACATGAAAGAAAGAAATTGTATCAAATTAATTCTGTATCAGAACTTTAAAGAGAGCAGAGACCAATATTCCAAGAAGGGAGAAGTAAACAAATGTAAGGAGGTCAAAAAAGAAATATGTTGTTGTCTGTGTATGAGGGGGCAGAGCCTGGGAAATGGAGAATAGAGATTATAAACTGAGTAACAGATGTAGGGCTGAGAGGCACACAAACCATAGGGAAAGGTTGGACATTTTTAGATTAAGAGAAAACTTTTTTCTCTCAGTCACATTTCTGTCCATAAATATGATTTATTGTGCATATTTTCACATTACAAGTTAAATTATTTTCTAGCTTTTATTTTTTTTATTGTGGTAAAAATACATAAAATTTACTATTTTAAAGTGTACAGTTTAGTGGCATTAAGTACAATCACAATGTTGTGCAGTCATCACCACTCTCCATTTCCAGAGCTTTACCAAAGGCATACATTTTTATAAAGGTTAATTATCAGAAGTAAATAAGTTGGACTTAACTGATAGTAAGCTAGGATCTGAAATTAAATGACAGAAAATTCAAATTGACATTTAAGTTCCAGAAGCCTCACTTTATTTTTAACTTCCAGGCCTAAGATGGTGTTAACAGTTAAAAGTTTGTGGGTTCTCTCTTGTTCTGTGGCCAAAAGTACAGGCCTTTGGTAAGGGAAGATGCTGGTTCCCCTTTCTCAGCCATGAGGGGGCTATTTCCATATAGTTCAACCAAACTTCTGGAAGGAAGGAAGGTAGGTATTCTTAGGCTACAGAGTGTGTGTGTGTGTGTGTGTGTGTTTGTGTATGCACATATGTACAGGAAGTATGCTAACAGGAGACTTAAGGTTAAGAAATCTGGAGTGGAGCCTCTGGTTCTGTTTCCAGCTCTGTGGTCTTTTACATCATTTAACTTTGGCTTTAGTTCCTTCATTTTTGAGATGAGGGCTTTCCACTAGATAGCCTTTGGTCTCTTCCAATTTTAATATCCTGATTTAGAGTATGAACATAGTTTTTTCTTCTTGATTCCAGAGTTTCCTGCAGACTTGTAGTCTTGCTGAAGGCTCTCTTGAAACTGATATGTGACGTAGCAAGGGATCAAAACCTTACACCAGAGCCTGTTAAAAGTGCTTTGCTACAGGAGGCCACAGACTGCCTGATTCTCCTGGACCACTGCTCCCAAGGACAGGTGAAGGTAAGACAGTCTGCAACGCAGTTTCAGTTGGGCCTCATTATCCTACCTATCCATAGGTAATTCCTATGATTGATTATAATTTACTGTGTATGTACCCAACCAAGCCTGGAAATGAACATGGAGAGTTTTAGGTTTCTATCTCTGAGCTCCCTAGCCTTCAGCAGAGTTTGAGCAATACTTTATTCATCTTTTAAAACTATTCAGAACTGTTTAAACCAAAAGGCAAGAGGATCAGCAGATGTCATTGGGGCTAAGGACAAGAGAGAATGGAATCAAGAGTTTGGGGCAGGGCATGGTGGCTCATCCCTATATTCCTAACACTCTGGGAGGCTGAGGTGGGAGGATCACTTGAGGTCAAGAGTTTGAGACCCCATCTCTACTAAAAATAGAAAAAAATTAGTGGGGTGTGGTAGTGCACACCTGTAGTCCCAGCTACTCAGAAGGCTGAGGCAGGAGGATCACTTGAGCCCAGGAGTTGGAGGTTGGAGTGAGCTATGGTGAGGCCACTGTACTCTAGACCAAGTGACAGAGTGAAACTGTCTTGAAAAAAATACGAGTGTAAAATTTAAGTTCTGTTCTCATCTTCTAAACTTAAAAAAAAAAAAAAAAAAAGGATAATGAGCTGTAAGCCCCTGAGGAGTAATAATAGATACAATAATTCAGATCTCATAATGTTTTCAGTTTTGGGGGACAGCCATCCCTTTGGTAGATATTTTTAAATATTCTTAATTATCCACATGGAAATCCTTCCTTTGGTTTTACTCCACAAAAGTTAACTTCTTAAAGCCAGAGCATATAATAGTTGTATGTGCATTTATATATGTATTTAATAAACTATTGCCTGATTTTTTTACTCCATTTAGAAATCCTCAATTGAAAGACTAAAGGCAGCATGAAAAGAAATTCATATCCTAAAAATATTTAGAGATAGGATGGTTTGTTGTTTTATCATTTTATTCAAACCATGTTATCTTAGTTCTATAGTCTTCAATCAAACCCTAGATCAAACCTAATTTGTCTTGGTGAACTTAAGCTGTTTCTTCATACTAAGAAAGAAGAATCAAGGCAAAAGGGGAAAAAAATAATCTAAAAAAACCCCAAAGCCTGTCTGGTTTCATGTTTCAGGGTCTCCTGGCCAACATCCTCCATAGCTGTGACGACAGCAAGGTGGTGAACTGTATTAGAAAAGTGCAACAGGTTTCTGAAGGCGCTTCCTTCGATGGAACTTAAGATTTGTATGACTTTCCCCAGAGGAAAGGATTTTTTTTCTATCTGATTGTATGAATGGAGTTACTTATGGAAAAAGGTATTTATACACTAAACATTGTTTAAGTTAGAACTGCCTTTTCCTTCTTTCTTTCCTTTTACCCCCGTAAGAGTAGGGAAAAAAGAACAACAAAAAATTGAAGTCTTACCATTGCTAAATAAAGTTTGGGAGAAAAAAGGACACTGAGGAATTTAACATTTAAAATTTAGAAATATTTACACCCACAGTCTCATCCCAGATTCAGGAACTCATCTGCTAAGCTTCTTGGGCTCAAGCTGTTAGTTCAACACATATGCTATAAAAATGCTTTGTTCACAAGTTAAGGCTTTCTTCCACTCACTCCAGATTTCTTGCCCCACTGAAGTGACATAAATATTAAAAACACAAATATTGTGTTAAATACAACACAAAAGAGCAAAAACTGGAGGTGTGTATGTGTTCAAGATAAAAAAAATGTTCCAAATGTTCAGTCCTGTGTACAAACGGTTGAAGGGAAATCACGTGGTCTTGGCCTTGGCCATGGGCTCTGTCTCCTGCTCGTATTCTATCTCTACGTAGGCTCGTTTTCTCCGTAAGGGTCCTTTCAAGGGTGTTTTGCCTTTGTGTTTCATATTAAGGGCCTTTTCTTCTTCCTCCTCTTTGGAGGATTCATCATCCTGATCTTCATCGCTGCTGGCATCCAGTTTATCCATATCCTAATACGGGGAGAGAACAGGTAAAAGAGTAGGGAAAATGCAAGACTTCTCCAAACTCCCTTCATTGTCCCCTGTATTTAGAACAAACAAGAATTTATTCACCTGTGTGTGTTCAGAAACACTACCCCTACCCCCTCATTTTTTTTGGGCTGCAGGCCTAAGCACAATTTTTTTAATCTATAAAGCTCACCTCAAAATCACTTATGTCACTCTCTTCTATCTCATCATCTTCCACAAATTCTCTTTTTCCCACATCCTACAATAAAATGTAACTGTTAGGTTCAAAATACATAATGAAGATTCAGTTTAGACATTGAAATCTTTTATTCTTTGATAAATAAGTACATAAATAATGTAATCAGAACCAGAGTCTACTTACTAGCTACCAAAATTAAGTTGTTCCTCAATTTAATATTTCTGAATTAAAAACATTTTAGAGCTATCAGATAATTTTTATTCATAATTTAAATCATCAGTGGTAAAACATCCTCATTTTAATTGATTAAAATCTATAAACAAGAAAAGCTTTACAGTTTGTCACCTTGCAGAAAAAATTTTAGAATGCCAATAAATAAGACTAAAATTGTTAATTATAAATGATTGCTGGAAAAACAAAGTAGCCACTGCTAAACGAAGATTAATGTCATTATAGAAAAAAATGACAAATTATTGTTGTTTAGGGGACTGAAAGTGACATTCTATAAATTACATAAAAACATCTAGTTTTCTATAGGTTTGTTTGAGAAAGCAAAGACTTACTTCTTCATCATCATCTTCATCATCTTTTTCCTCGGCATCTGAAGAGTCACTTTCTGTCTCCTGCTGTTCCAGGGCCTTGTCAAAGGCATGAATGGGGAAGTTGTAGATGTCGCCATACTGAAGAACACAAACACAGATTGGCTTTAACTACATTTGGATATGACACTTGAAGTTCCACTGTCTGACAAGCATTCTCTTTTTTCCTCAATAATTACATCAGAACACTTGATTTGATGGCCAATATTTCTATATTATTTTCAAGCCTAGAGCCAGCAGTATCCAAAAAACTCATTGATGTTTAAATAATCAGTGGTTACTATCAACTAGGAAAAAATCTATGGAGGATGGAACCCTATCATTTAAACTTTAGTAGTCTATAAAACCTATGCACTGGGACAAATGTAATTTTGCCGACAAGGGGAAATAGTAAGGAAAAGGATATTTTAATTATGTCTGTATAAATGACACTAATTTTAAGAAAGGAAAAACCTCATTTTAAAGAAACTATATAGGAGATGCAAGACCCTATGGTTTTTATAGAGATCTGGAATTTTTGCATTTAGGAATGGCAATTGGGAAAAATGGCAAAAAGGGAGAGGTCTCTTATAGTGAATGGAGTATCAAGGGGAACCAAAGCATTTCATGTGCTGTGTCAATGAACTAAAAAGAGGACCAGACCTATACGGATTTATTTTATTCCAGGGATAAAATCAGAGTTGGGATCTCTCGAGCATCTTCAAAACTAAAACACATTTTCCAATATTTCCTAACATGATACTACCACCTAAAGAATACAATTTGTACCCCAAAACTACTAGCTTTCTCACCGTATCTTGTTTCAGTCTCTCCAGCAATTCCTTCTCAATGGCATTGTCCAGCTGAGCAGCTATTAATGCCTTTTCCTATATGAGAAAAAGAGCAAACCTATTTAATTCATTAGCACCGATTTTTCAGCCTGCAGAAGTGGAAGAAACCACCATTTTTTTTTTTTTAATACAGACGATATAATCATTTCCCCCCTTGGTATTACTGGCTTCTGCCTCTCTAACCATATACACTTCTTCTTTCCCTCCCAAACTTTCTTTGGAACCTTTCAATTCCAGAATTCTTATGGTTATAAACAATATTCTTAATCAAATTCTAAAAAAGCCTTTAATAGGTATATAAAACATGCAGGTCTACATAGTGACAGGCAGAAAAATAGGTAAAAAAATCTTTTTCCAGTAATCTCTCGGATGACGTATAACATCAACCTGTATGACCCAAAATGCAAAACATAAAATCTAATCATGATCTATCTTTCTAGTCTAAGAGTTTGCATTAATTTGATAGTGAAAGTCAGAGGGTCTTAAAGCTTCATACACAGAAGCTATCTTAGAATGATAAAGCATGTGGAATGATTCGCAATATTGGGAGTTGGGAGGCGAGGGACATATGGATTAGTTAAAAGGCTACAGGTATGTTCTGTGTTCTCTAAAGTGGTTGCTTACACCTCAAGGGTGATCCACTAAAGTAGAGGAAGAAAATACTCAAAACTTGTGTATTTTTTTAATTTAAAAAATTAAGTGTTACTAATATTTTTCTTGTACACTGACATTGGTGCCTTCACTCTGTCCATAAAGCAACTAGTTGTGTGTCAGATATGGTGAGCAGGATAGCTTGAGGGAAGACTGCCCCATATATAGAGTTTAAAAGTGAAAGTGGTGGTCTCCTTTATTCAGATTATTACAGCATATCACTACTTGGTTAAGTGGATTAATAGATGACACTGAATATTTTGCAAAAGACAGAGTAGTTCTATAAAGGTATGCTGGTGATCTAATTAATAAGTTAGTACTTAAAAAAGTGGTAGAACCTAGAGATGAGCTATGCATCTTTCACAAAAAGAAAAATGTTTACCAACCTTTTCTAATATAACAAATGGCTATCTGTAGTATGTAACCTAGCAGAAGTTTTAAAAACAAATATACTTAATCTATTCTTTCTAGTGACTAATGGGAACAAAAACATCAAAAGATTATTAAAGCTATTTCTTTACAGGGTATGACAAATGATCCGGCAAATGTCTGTTGGTGAAAATGAGGTAAGCAAAGCAAACTGCAAGAATTACTGCAAATTTGAACTTGTCAGGAAAAGCTGATTCCTGGAGCTTTAAGCAGAAGAGAATTCAGCTTGAGTGAGAGATCAGTGATGTGAAAAGGCAGACTACTCTGGGACAAAGTTTACAGATTCTTGATTAGAGAATAGATAGGATAATATTACCATCACTATTCATTGCTTTCATAACAAAACTGTCCAATTTACTGCAAAGAAGCAAATAACCCCAGATCAAAAGTGGAGTTTCCAGTTCTTTCTTTTTTCGTGTCCTTTTTAGAGAGAGTGTCTTGCTCTCTTGCCCAGGCTGGAGTGTAGTGGCACAGTCATAGCTCACTGCAGCCTCGAACTCCTGGCCTCAAGCAATCCTCCTGGCTCAGCCTCCCAAAGTTCTGGGATTACAGGGTGTCAGCCACCATTCCTGGCAGAGTTTTCAATTCTTTACCAGTAATTTCAAAGTCCAAAAACTCAATTTAGCAGCCAAATATGACCAAAATATGACCATGAGGCTACTGCTGAAGGTAATATGTAAGATAGGCAACATCAGAATTCTGAAACATTTGACCTCATGAATTTCAGATAAAGGAGTTGTGGATCTCTAAGATATTCTGTTCCCTATTATTACATATACCACCGCCAAAGTGCCCATATGTTAGCTTGCCCCAAAAGTCATGATGTTAAGATATAAAAAATCAGATGTATTAGGCAACTGTTGTCCATTAGTGAACCAATATCCAAGGCATAAACGGTTTACATAGACAATGGTGACTGACTCTTTCTCATGAGCTCTGCCCATGCAGCCCTCCCCCAGTGAAAATATAGAAGGTATGAATATCAGAACAGGAAGTTACCTCTCTTCTTTTCTCCCTACGCTCCACCTTCTTACTCAAAGGAACAAGTTTCTTCCTAGGGGAAATAAAACACATTATCAAATAATGCAAGTTCACATGCTCTGTGTTCCTTTTTAAAAGATGAAAAGGGATTGGAATTGGTTTTGTTTTGTTGGGCTCAGTTCAGTACGGTATGCTATTTTATTTTTTCTTTTCTTTTAATTTTATGCTATGTCAGGTCTTTTTTTTTATATTTGCTTGTGTCTGTTTTTTTTTTTTTTCTTTTTTGTTTGTTTGTTTGTGCGTTCATTCTGTTTGCTTTCATTGTTTGGTTGACTTAGGAAAGGGGATTTTTTTTTGGAAACTTATTTTTTGGCTTTTTTTCCGGCCCCCATTGAAAAGTGTTTGGGGCTTACCCTTCTTTGGGAGGTTGTTTTTTTATTTTTTTGATTTTCTTTTCCTTTTTTAGATTTGTTTTTCGTTGATTCCGGGTTCAGTTTTTTCCTTTCTTTTTCCCTTTTTTTACATCATTTTCAAATCTCTAATGTTAAGTTTCTCTTAGGAGTTGGAAAATTTTCTGAAGCAGATTTTCAGGCAGGGAGGGTAACCAAGTTATACTCTATATTAAAAGTCCTGCCATATCAAAGGGCATACCTTTAATCTGAGGTAGAGTTTCTTCTTAGCATATCATAAAGATTCCACAAAGTTGAATTTAATAGATAGCACTGAAGTTTCACAATCTCTCAGCTTCAAAACATGTTCCATGGAAAGAAAGAGTTAAATCTTTGAATGATCCAAATACTTACTGTCGCTTTAGTGTAAGTTTTCTAATTCGGATTAGGTATTGGGTGATCTTGGTGAATCTCTGCTTACATTTGTGTCGAATGAAACGGGGCCAGTAAATTAAATTTTCATCAATTTGCTCCAGTGCTTTCTCATAGTTTTTATTAAGCCGGACCTACCAAACAGAAAAAGGAAGTTTGCAGGGTAAGGGTGAATGATTTATTAGGTCTTCACTGTCAACAACACTTACAGAGCCTAATAAGGATGGCTTTAAAAGCTTAATCTGGTTATGGTCAAGGAAGAGAGCATTATGGTCAAGCAAGTGGCATTTATGCTCTTGATCAGTAGTCATTGTAGTTTTGTCATAAGTCTTACCCGTTCCCAGAGACGCCTAGGAAAAGCTGCTCGTTCTATAACCTTCATATACAAGTAGCACTGTCCTGAAGGATAAAGTAAAATACCATTAGTGTTATTTACAGAGACTAAAGAACATCTCTTTAAAAGCTGTTGAGTAGTTCTCATGGAAGTTAAAACTAGGGAGTTACCTTTCTCTTCTTTAATAGTGGCATACTGACTATTTGCCAGGGGACAGGACGACCGATTACATAGTCCAGTCAGATTGTATTCATTTCTGCAGAAGCCCTGAGTCTTGGTTCTAGAATGAGAGGAAAGAAAAAAAGATACATAGTCCAGTCAGGCTGTATTCATTTCTGCAAAAGCCCTGAGCTTTGGTTTTAGAAGAGAGCAAAGACACAAAGATTATAAGATGGGTTACCAAGAAGGCAACTGAAGGAATCTTAGTCCAAGTCGAAAATCCACACTCACCTTATTTTGAAGGAACAAAATTGCTTGTTTCCTAGCGTATCCCAGATAACCTGCAAGACAAAGTAAAAACCCATTGCAAATGTGACCCACAAGATGCCATATTATTTCAAGAAGATGATGTCCTAGGACAGTGCCTGCTTCACTGAGAAGAGTCTTTAAGGAATGAGAAAAAGTACTTAATAGCCTGACTTGTTAACTTTTCTTTACACAACAGAGTCTTGTAGAACAATGAAATATGGATCGTTAATAACCATAACTCCATTACCCAGAGATACAATTTCATTACTATTGTATATTTTTCCAGATTTCTTTCTATACATGTATATTTCATCAACTGTATGCCTATGTGTATATTTTTAGCAACAAGAGATCATATATATATACATTTCATAACTTTACTTTTTTACTTAATATGTTCATTATTCACTGTTGAAGGCTGCACAGTACTAGATCTTTGGATATACATATGTGATTTTATCTCATGGACAAAGAAAATTATCTGTTGCTATCCTCCACTAACTAATGTGTTCTTTATTCATTCTGCACTTACTGTATACTTGATTTATGTAAAGCGGTGACATCTCCAAGTCCTGACACACAGTAGGCACTCCAGAAAGATGTGTAAACAAAGCATCACAAAGTAACAGTAAGGCCACAAAGAAGTGCATGAGAGTATGGCAGTCTTTGTGTGAGGTGCTTTGAGGAATTGGGAAAAAGCTTTACAGCAATAAAAGGGAAAACATGAAGAAGGATGAAAGAATAGAATACACTGGGGAATTTTATAGGTGTGTCTGGTGGGGGATAGTAAGAAACTGCTAAGAGGAAAAGAAACTGGAAAAGTAGGGAGGTCATTTAGGCTTACAGCTTTATGTATAATCTCTAAATTGAGGACTTCCAAATTATCTCCTGGTCAGACTTCTTTCCTGAATACCAGATTTGTATGTGCATCCAGGCCTACTTGACATCTCCATGTGGATATCTAAAAGGTATCATAAATAATACCATATCCAAATCAAATTCCATACCTCTCAATAGGACATTCCTACCATAGTCCTCCCCATTTCAATAAATAAAATCACCACTGTATTTAAATTGTTTAAATCTAAAATCCCTTGCTTTCTCCCTTTTCTTCCTCCCTGAATCCATGACCAAGTCTTGTCAGTTATACTGATTTAACAGGCCTCAAATTCATCCATTTCTTTTCATCTCCACCATTACTACCTTAGTTGAAGCTACTTTCATCAGACCCTAATCTCCTTGCTTTCATTCTTTCTCTTTCAAACGTCCATCACACAGCAACTGAAGAACTTTTCAAAAACGTTTATCACATTATTAAAAGCCCTAAAAACACTTCCCACAAGACTCTGCATGATCTTGCCCAGGCAAGCATATCCAATTTCATTACCTCTCTCAACACAGTCACACTGGTGTCCTTGATGTTCCTTCTCTCATACCTTCAGATTTGTACTTGACTGATCCCAATGCCTAGATTGCTTATCCCTCAGTCACCCAGTGGCTGGTTCATTCTCATCTTTTAGATCTCAGCTGAAATGTCTTCTGTTCTGAGAAACCTTCCCTGACCTGGTCTTTCCTAATTACATTCTACTTCATCACTCCTGCTTTTTCTTTCATAGTACTATTACACAGTGCAATTGTTTTATTTATTTGTTCACTTGTTTACTATCTGTATCACCCCTCCCCGGCCCTCCGTGCTCCAGGAGAGCAGGGACTTTTTGTCTGGCATGTTAACAACCAAATCTCCAGTAACAACCACAACGTGCAGCACATTTTAAGCACTGAAGTATTTCTCCAACAAAAGAACTGAATGAGTGAATCTAGGCTGCTTCCGAAATTATGACTTGGGCAGAGAGTAGAGCAAATGTAAGGAAAAACCTAACACAGGAAAAGCACATTGAACAGTAAGGTGCACATGGATGAGAAAGATCCTTAGATCCGAAGTCTAAACTTCGCCGCACCCTCTTGCCGCCACCCCTCCCCCCAAGTGCAGAGCTGACAGCTGACAGCATGGCACAACGTCCCTCACTGTAGGCACCGGGGTCTGGATCCACCGACCCTGTGGGTTCAGGTGGCGGTGTCCTGTCCCCATAACCCGGCTGGGCAGCGGGCTGCAGATCCCGGTTAGACACGCGTTGAGAACCCCACGTTCAAACATCGGAGTTCAGAAAACTTCGCATCTGGAGCAGCACGAGGCAAAACAGACCAGCAGAGTACGCGTTTTCTGAGTGTTCTGAAATGGGCACCATTCCCTGCGCGAACCCCGGGGTGTCAGAGCAACGGAAGGAGACTCACATCATCTGACTGCATGGTGTCGGCGGTTCAGCGTGTGGCGCCTGGACTGACCACGGGCGCGGACATGCTGTTTCCGGGAAATCACTTCCGGAAAGCCTAGCCACGGCTCTCGCGAGAAGCGCAGAGACTGCCGGGACTACACAGCGACCCCTGGCGGCCTGGCTGTCGCGCGTGCTTCCACGTCACCGCCCAAGAGTACGTCAGCGCGCGCTCGCGTCGCTCCGGGCTTGTCACGGGCTCCCGGGGCGGGTAACCCAGTGGCGGCCCCGCGCAGGCCGCGGAGTCCCCGGGCGGGTTTCTCCGCGAGCAGTTCGTGGCCGCCCCCGAGTACCCGCCCCTTCTCCATAGTACCGTTACTATGTCGCCAGGGGAAAGAGAATACCTTTACTGGTTCACACCGTCTTAACAAAAGCAAGGCCATTTTAGTACCGGAAGCGTCAGGAGAGCACGGCGGGTGGCAGGATAAGCACGGGCCCTTAATCTGAACGCACATCGCGTTGTGAAATAATTCGGTAGATTATTATAAATGACGTAGTGTTACTGCCTGCAGGTGAAAAGCGCGATTCGGAACCGCCGTGTTGGAAAGCATCGATTTTTTTTTTTTTCAGCACTAGCTTCGGAGCCAAAGATGAGTTATAAAAACTAACTCTGCCTTTTACGAAGTGTCGCGGGGCAAGTCATTGCATTTTTATCAGCCTGTTAACCCATTTCAAAAAGTGGGTGCGTGCGAGGGGCGGAGACAGTTTGAACTGCAGCGTGCAAAGTGGTGGCGGTGGCTCTGTGCCCTGGGCGCGCGGCTGGTGTGCAGACCGGGAGGGGGCGTGCGGCCGCACGTGTGCCCTTTCCTGCGGGAAAGTCAGGCTCACACGATGCGGAGGGAATCGAAGGCTGGACCGCCTGCACACACTACGCTTTGCGAATTGCTTTAAGCAGGGGAAATGGTGGTTTTCTTCACTTTGGTTTAGTATAGCATGCCTTCGTCCACACCACCAACTGATGAGATGAGGCCTGTGAATAACCTTTTTTTTTTTTTTTTTTTTTTTTTTTTAAAAAAAAGAGACCTTCAGTTTTAGAAGAGTTTTAGGTTTATGGAAAACCTGTGAAGCTATTACAGAGAGCTCACATCTATCCCATACTAGTTTCCCCTATTATTACTATCTAACATTAGATTGATACATTTGTTACAATTAATGAACCGATATTGACACATTATTATTAACTCATGTCCATACTTTCTTCAGATTTCCTGAGTACCTCCTTTTTACCTAATGTCCTTTTTCTGTTCCAAGATCTCATCCAGGATCCCACATTACTTTTATTTTATTTTATTTTATTATTTTATTTTATTTTTGAGACAGAGTCTCACTCTGTTGCCCAGGCTAGAGTGAGTGCTGGTGCGTCAGCATAGCTCACAGCAACCTCAAACTCCTGGGCTCAAGCGATCCTCCTGCCTCAGCCTCCCGAGTAGCTGGGACTACAGGCAGGCACCACCATGCCCGGCTAATTTTTTATATATGTTTTTAGTTGTCCAGCTAATTTCTTTCTATTTTTAGTAGAGACAGGGTCTCCCTCTTGCTCAGGCTGGTCTCGAACTCCTGAGCTCAAACAATCCTCCCGCCTCAGCCTCCCAGAGTGCTAGGATTACAGGCGTGGGCCACTGCGCACCCGGTCCCCACATTACTTTGAGTCATCATGTCTCCTTTGGCTCTTGGCTCGGCAGTTTCTCAGACTTTTCCTTGTTTTTGATGGCCTTGAACATTTTGAGGAGTATAGGTCAGGTGTTTTGCAGAATGTCCTTCCATTGGTACTTATCTGATGGAGTTTGGAGGAAGACTACAGAGGTATGGTGCCATTGTCATCACACCATGTCAAGGATACTGTATTAGTCTACTGGGTTACCATAACAAAATGCCACCACTTGGGTCAGTTAAACCACAGAAATTTATTTTCTCATAGTTGTGGAGCCTGGAAACCCCAAATCTTCAGGATTCATTTCTTTGGAGGCTTCTTCCCTTGGCTTGCAGGTGGCTACCTGCTCATTGTCCCCTCACGTGGCTTTTTCTCTGTGCTCCAGCATCCATGGTGTCTCTCTGTCTCCTGTGAATAATCTTGACTTGCTATCACATCTTAGAACTAGCTCTTAGCAAGCTTGTCCCCTAAAGAACAAGGAGTTCAAGTCTGGGATTTTCCTTAAAGAACAAGGACTTCAAGTCTGGGCTGGGTGGCTCAGACATGCAATCCCAGCTCTTTGAGGGGCCAAGGTGGGAGGATTGCTTGAGGCCAGGAGTTCAAGACCAGCCTGAGCAATATGGCAGGACCCTGACTCTATAAAAAATAGGATTAGCTGGGCATGGTGCCCCACACCTGTAGTCCCAGCTACTGGGGAGACTGAGGCAGGAGGATTGGTTGAGCCAGGAGTTTGAGGTTGTAGTGAGTTGTGATGATGTCACTGCATTCCAGCCTGAGCAACAGAGTGAGACCCTATCTTAAAAAACAAATTAGTTGTTAGGTCTTTAAAATTCAGAAATACACATGTGGAAGGCAGCTAGTTGGAAATTAAACCTGATTAGGCCACTCATCTGTAAAGCACGTGAATTTGTACACAATCAGAAGAATAAACTGTTTAGGTGGAGGTAGAATTGGTAGCTTTTTAGCATAACCATAGAGCTCACCAAGAAGAAGAGATATGGGTTACATTACATCTCTCTGTATGTAATGAGTAGCTGGCAGAAGTGGGAATCATTGTCAGAGGTCTAGCATCTCTTTATTAATATGCTTATATTGCCAAAATAACAATCAGGCAGCCAGAACCGCAAAGGAGAAAAGGAAAAAAAAAACAAAAACCCGTTGTTGGAGTTGGATAATCTTGAGTCTGGCACAACGATCAAAAGTCCTAGGGAGAAGGTGATTTCTGCCTCTCTTGCCAATGAGCTTGTTTTTTCCAAGTCTTGCACCAGTGTCTGAAGAGTATTTTAGCTGGTCTTCCATGCATATCCCTTGAGCAACTCAGTATTTTATTTTGCTCATCACAAAGTTGCCTCAGGTGGGTAGGAATCCGCTTCTATTTGCTTTACATTTGCCTTGCATCTAGTGCAAGGGGAAGACATAATGAGGATCCTGTGACAGAAGATGAAAGATGAGAACCCTTGGACCCTGGGGTAGAATATATTTGTGATTCCTTTATTTGCCAGATGACTATTATTTGCCACAGAAGGTGATAAACATAGTCATCTGGCAAATAAAGGAATCACAAATATATTCTACCCCAGGGGTGCAGAAAAAATAAACCTACATTTTACATACATCTTCCCACGTTTACCTACTTCACCTATCTTTTCATCCCATGTTAGAAAGGAATTACTTAGAAGAGAAATGTAGGAATGTCGGTAGGCGGTGATAAGGAAAAAAAAGATCTCCAGAAATTGATTTTCAAAGTTGGCTTTATTCAAACATCAGAATCAGCATTAAAAACATGAATTTCCTTGGTGCAGGAACTTGTATTTGAGAACTAACGCTCTGAAGCAGTTAGTTCCCTCTTAGAAATAGGAAAATGCAAAAACTGAAGTTGTCTAAACAAGGTCAGCAGGCTGGCTCTTATAATTTCGCTGCCTTTGCCAACTTCACCCACTCCCATGAACAACTTTTCTTAGAACTAAATTTAAGAGAGTCAGGTTTCCTATGAAGCTAGTAAAGCTTAAGTTTCAGAGTTCCTCCAGGCCCCTTGCACAAGCCCATCTAGGGCCTCTTATTTTCTAATTCTAAAAAAAAAAAAAAATTCTAAAAAAAAAAAAAAAATTCAGTTTCATACCCAATTTTGTGATTGTAATTTTCTACTTTTTTTTTTTTTTTTGAGTTTCCAAATTATATAAGTTTCAGGCTGTACAAACTCTGTATCCTCTGTAGCCCTTAGCAGCCCAGGAAGGTCAGACCAATCAAGGGAACTGGTTGATTATAAAATCTTCTATTTAACTCTGTAATAGGGAAACCTGGAGTTGCAGGACTAGGTCCTCTGATGAGATAGCTTTCTAACCTGAGGGAGTAAGCACAGTAGCGAAGAGTCTAGAACCTGCTGTTAACATAACCACGTTCAAATCTTGACTCTGCTTCGTTAATTGAAAGACCCTGGGCAAATTGCTTAACCTTTCTGCATCTTCGTTTCCCCATCTGCTAAATGGGCGCAGTAAAAGAAACTTCTTCATAGGGTTGAGATAAGCATCAAATGAGATGATCCTCATGAAGTATTTCATAACAAAAATGTGTGATATATAGACAATACTTGGTACATGCCTGTTACTATTATAATAATTACTATTATTAATACCTAGGTTGGAAAACCAAATGGTGGGCCTGGTCACATGTATGGGCAAGGATTATTAAATTATTTTTTTCTTAAATTCTATTAAATTATTTTTTTTCTAGATTATTTATTTTCTGTTCAAAACACACCTGGCACAGTGCCTAAGAACCTCAAAATGTTTTTTGTTATAGTGTTTTGGGACAAATTAACTCATTCTCTTTAAGCCTCAGTTTCCACAGCTGTAAAGAAGAAAATAAAAGGCCAGGTGGGGACTTGTATAAATGAACTCACAACTCCCTGCATGGGTTCTGTTTCTGAGTATGCATGGCTAACGGCCTTGTTAAAACCATTAGTCTGTTTACCAATGGGTTTGGTATCATGGTTTACAGTTGGGACCTACAAACTCTGCAGTAGTCAGAATGGGACTTGCTTTGAGGGTTTGATTGTCATCGTGAACCTAGAAGCACATCTGTTGGTCAGTGGAAACTGGGGGCATATTTTTTCCAAGGAGAAATAGCAAACATTTTGGAATAAGGGGCTTTATAGAGGAGTATATATATAGGTTTTTGTCCCCCCCCCCCCCTTAGGAGTTAGCTGCTTTATGTTAATTTTTCTGACCATTGTTGGGCATATATTCCATACAAGACTTTTTTTTTTTTGAGACAGGGTCTCACTCTCTTGCCTGGGCTAGAATGCAGTGGTGTCATCATAGTTCATTGCAACCTCTTGGGCTCAAGTGATCCTGTTGGCTCTGCCTCCCAAGTACTTGGGACTACAGGTGCTCACTACTACGCCTGGCTAATTTTTAAGATTTTTGTAGGGATGGGGTCTAGCTATGTTGCCCAAGCTGGTCTCAAACTCTAGCCTCAAGCGATCCTCCCACCTCGGCCCCCCAAAGTGCTGGATTACAGGTGTGAGCACTGAGACCGGCCAAGACTTCTTACAACGATGTTAATCTTTGAAATATCAACAGTAATACTTATTAGTTTGTGCAGTTTTGCCCTTGCCCGTAAATGAAGTCTGTCCCCCCAGATTGGTCTATTGGAGCAATGAATGCAAGGACAGGACTAGAAGAACATGAGCTTTGAAATTCAGTTATTCTAGCACATGAACCAAGGTGAGAAAGAGAGCAGAAGGTGGAACAGGAATGCTAAAAAGAACTTTCTTAAATAAAGTGACCCTGAGTATATCCCACTTTCTTAAATAAAGTGGCCCTGAGTATATCCCACTCACATTTCTCTATGTGTACAATATAGAAATCTTAGATGAGAGGCCTTGAATTCGCTGAAAGCACTTCCAAAGATATTTGGCCTAGCTGTCAGCCTTCAGGCAGCTGTGGAGGAGTGGTTTTGCAATAGCAGAGCTGAAAGTCCTCTTTACTGACAATTTGATCTCCTAGCTCGGATCTGTTGCTTTGAGAACATTCTAACGGTTCTCATAGAGTCTCTCAGAGTTGTTCTTCAAGTTCTTATGCACTAAGAACAGACTGGAAGAAAGGTATAGATTTTTAAACTCCAAATAAAATCACATGGTTTTTTTTTTTCTAATAAGTGCATTGTTTCCTCTCTGGTTATATGCATTTATATATTATCCAATAGGCATTACATACAGAGTAGCTGTTTAATACTTGAGCCAGCTGAAAGAAATAGCCTGTACTTCTTAAATTTGTTTGAGTTTTAAGCCTCTTATCTCAGTCTCCCAAGTAGCTGGGTCTCCAGGCGCACCACCACGCCCGGTTATTTTTCTGTTTTTTTGTAGAAAGGAGGGTCTAGCTATGTTGCCCAGGCTGGTCTCGGACTCCTGTCGTCCAGGAATCCTCCCGCCTTGGCCTCCCAAAGTATTGGGATCACAGGCGCGAGCTCCCGCGCCCCGCCCCACGTGTTTTCAAATAGGGCAGCAGTGAAAACCCGGATCAGGCGTAGCTTCTCCTGGACGCGCCCGGCGTCCCCGCGTCCGCGCCCCAGGTGTCCCGCGCGGGCGGCGGAGCAGGCGGCTGGGCGCGTCCTGCGCCCGCCAGGTGAGTGGCGAGCGCCGCGTCCCCTCCGGCCTCGGGGGCAGCTGGGGGTGGGGGCGCGATGCGGGGAGCAGGAGGAGACTTTCCCGGGGGCCGGCGGGGGAGCGCCACCGCGGGAAGCCCGTCCCCGCGCGGAGGAGGGAGCGGGCGTAAGAGGAGGACGGAGCCGCGTGCCGCGCGGGGGTCCCAGTCTGTTTGGGGGCGCAGGAGCCCCGGGCAGAGCCCCTGCCCGAGATCGGAGCCGACGTGGCCGCCGAGGCCGCCCAGGGGGAGGCAGGCGGCGGGCCGGGGCCTCCGCTGCGGCCGCGGAGAGCGCGCACTCCCGGGCTCCGGGGCCGAGGGCTTCCCCGGCCCGCCGCCACCGCCGCCTCCCCGGCCCGCTGCCCCGGGGGTCCGCGACCTGACTCCGCCGCGACGCGTTGGGAACGGCCTCGTCCTTCCCCGGGTCTCCCCTGAGAATCACTTGTTGCAAGGATTTTGTGCTCGAGAGTAGCAATCCTGACTTTCCAGCTGCAGAGAGCACTGCGCGTTTAATGGGGAAAGTGCCCGGGGAGAGCGCCCCAGAGCTGCGGCGTGTTCGGGTTACCGATTTGCAAGCCATTTGTTAGGAGTGTTTTTTGTTGGTTTGCTTTTTAAGTTCAGCACAGGCTCTGCTCATCTTAGGTTTTTTTACACCCTTATTAGTACCCTCAGAACAGAACTCATTTTGTGCAAGATACAGAAGTAACGTCACTGTGAGTGACATTTTTTTCTGGGGATCTTTTAGGACACAGCAAATGCCACGCAGAATGACTCATTCTTAACACCAGAGTTGCTCCGGACTGCCCCCTCCTCGCTGCCACAGCTCCCTGAAATAGTTGGGTAGAGCCGTTTTATGCATGAGGTGACTTGGGTTGTTAATTGCATTTGCGAAATGCTTGTAACTGTGGCCGGGTACAACTTTGAATACAGCAAGTTGGTCTGCAGGACTTTATTCCCTTTCATCCACCCTTCCTTCTCTCAAATGAGACTCCCCAGAAGCTCGTGCCCAATCCTGGGCTTGCTACTGATGTCACACTATAACTATGGCACTGTTTCTCTGTGGTGCACCGTGGTCTCCAGTGGAAATCTTGCAGACCAGGCCTGGCCATCTGCAGTGAATAAGCAGCCCAGGGAATTCGCACACTAAAATTTTAAGAGCCACCAATCTAGACGGCACGCTCGTCTCAGTTATAGAACTTTCTCCTTCTCCTGAGAAAGGACAAGCCAGAGGCAATGTTGTAGGGTCAGGTGATCATTAAGGTCTGCCCCAGTTCTGAAATTGCTGTGATAACTCTTCATTTTCTGGCCTCTTGCTAGATGGCAGCGTGTGCAACAGTGGATTAAATAGTCTCCACTGTTACTATGTTGCCATTGCTTATCTTTTGTTCTTCAATAAGAAAAAAAAAAATAAGTTTTCAAGTTTTATGTTACAAACAACATCTTTGAAGAAGACATTTAAACTAGGGTTACATTTAGGATATAAAAATATGGTGTGGCCGGGCGCGGTGGCTCACACCTGTAATCCTACCGCTTTGCGAGGCCAAGGCAAGAAGGATCTCTTTAGGTCATGAGTTCGAGACCAGCCTGAGCAAGAGTGAGACCCTGTCTCTACTAAAAATAGGGGGGAAAAATTAGCTGGGCAACTAAAAATAGAAAAAAATAGCTGGATGTGGTAGTGTATGCCTATAGTCCCAGCTAGTTGGGAGGCTGAGGCAGGAGGATCTTTTGAGCCCAGGAGTTTGATGTTGCAATGAGCTATGATGATACCACTGCACTCTAGCCAGGGAAACAGAGTGAGACTTTGTCTCAAAAAAAAGAAGTATGGTTTGGACAAACAATATATATTTGTTCTTCATATATGTATACATATTGATTCTTACACATATGTGTACATACAGATTCTTCATATATGTATACATATTGTTTAGTAGGCAGACATTTCCAACCCCCCCCCCCACCTTTTTTTTTGAGCCAGTCTCCCTCTTTCACCCTGGCTAGTATGCAGTGATATCATAGCTCACTGCAACCTCAAATGCCTGGGCTAAGGCCATACCTCCTGCCTCAGCCTCCGAGTAGCTGGGTACTACAGGTGTGTACTGCCAGGCTGGCTATTTTTTTTTTTCTTCTATTTTTAGTAGAGATGAGTCTCTTGCTCAGGCTGGTGTCAAACTCCTGAGCTCAAACAATCCTCCCTCCTTAGCCTCCCAGAGGCTAGGATTATAGGCGTGAGCCACTGCACCTGGACTCCAACCCACATTTAAGGAGTGTTCTGGAGATTTATGCCTTATACACAGTGATCACACCTTGGGAGAGTCAAACCTATTTGAGAAATTGCACTTTAGTGTGAAGAGTGTAAGTATGTTAGGTACATTTCTTCTAATAACTCTCCCTGGTATTACCTTTAGCTCAGTTAAGATGGTCACTTATTAACCCAGTTGACCCCCCCCCACAATTCCAGGAGCAGAAATGAACAAAGGAGTCTTCCCAGAGCTCCCTGCCTTCCCCCTCCCCTCTCTCTCCTGCCAGTGGGGAGAGGGAGGGAAAAAGAGGGACCCACCAACTATAGATTCTGAAAGCTCCCCATGTCACCTAAGGCCGGCTTCTCATTTTATCAGAGACGCAGGGCAGAAATCATCTGTTGTTTCTGAGACTCAACCTGAACTTTAAACTGGTCCTGTATGGCCAAAATTTGAAGCTGGCACCCTCAAGCTGCTAATTCTTTTAAAGGTATTCAATCTCTCTTCTGTCCATCCTAAAAGTAAAGTGGAAAATTTGGAATTATTTTAGAATGAAATTGTTGCTGGTTTTGATGGCATAGCGCTCACAAGAGTATGAGGTGGTCACACTCAGCTCTGATCTCCCCCTGGGTGGCAGGTGGCCAGCCCGGGGAGTGCACGCCAGCCCAGTGGTGCCTTTCAGAAGCTCAGCTCCTAGGGTTAATAGGGCTGCTGAGTGAGTGTCCACTTCAGATATTGCCTACCACGGTTGTGTGAATAAATGCATGGTTCTGTCCTAGAAAGGAACATTCTGGGGAACATTCTTGGTGGGCTTTGAGATTCACCCTGCAGGCAACAATGAAACAGAGGGAGCTTTCCTGCTAGAGTCTGTTCATTTGGAGCTTGTTGGCCTTCATGCTTCAGGATGGGTGACCCCTGCAAGCCCATCTGTCCCACAAGTTGGAGGACTGCTGATTTGGGGACAGGCTCCTGCGTAGTTAATACCATATACAGTATTAGATTGACTATTGCTGCTGTAAATATGCCCTGGAACCTGGTTGATTGCTGCTTGCTATACATCAAAATATCACTGTCTACTGGGACTAGGCTCTATTCTTTAGTGGTGAGTTTTTGACCATAGCTTGATGCCTGAGACTCTTCAATACTTCTGGCCTTGGGAATATAGCCTAAGTTGAGATTCTCTGGATACAGTGGAATTTAAAACCTTCAATTCTTCTGTCATTGTTCATATAGCCATGTGAAGATCCTTATTTGTGGGAGCTGGGAATGACAATGCCCACCTTACCTACTTTTCAAGTGATTATAAATGAGATTGAGTAGAATGACATATCTAAAGACCTTTGGAAAATGATTTAATTTTACTCCCACTTAAGGTGGTAATATTATTTCACTACTGAATCTGGGTTACATTAATTATAGCTATAATAAATTGCTTTTGCACATAAAATGAAAATTTGATTATCTGTTATGCAAGGGAAAGAAGCAGTAATGGTTAACGTTTATTATTTGTTATGAAGAAACTGAGGCAGATACTTACAAAGATATAGTAACTTATACAAATTTATTAATATGTTTAAGTGACAGACCAGGATTGGCACCTAAAATGCTACCTCCACATTTTATATAGTTAATAGCTACTAGCATCTACTGAATAGAAGGAACGGTGCTTTTCAAGCTCTTAGAGATCTTTGTTCCTTTTACCAGCTGACAGCATTTCTACACAAGATTTTTTTTCCCCCTGTGATTCAGGCAGGTAACCTGTGAGTTTCATTTCTATATTTCTAATTATATCTTCAATTCTACATCCCAGAGCTCTGTAGATCTGCCTTAGAATCAGATCTCTGGAGTACTGGGAAGCCACACTTCCCTTCCTTTGGAATGTCAATCGAGTCCCCCTCTGAACTGCAAGACATCGGACTTCATAGAATTCTGTGGGGCCTTTTAGGTCATTTTTAAAACTTTTTGAGAAGACTTTCCATTTCAGATGGATGAAAATCTTATTTTCAGTCTTCCAGAGCATCATATTGCCCTAACAACTTGCCACTTTATTGCACTTGCCATAAAAAACTTAACAAGGGAACTGATTATGTTGTGGCCCAAGTTAGTTTCCTTGGGTAGCATTGGGACCAGTTGATCATGATTTTTTTTTTCTTTGAGACAGAGTCTCACTTTGTTGCCCAGGCTAGAGTGAGTGCCGTGGTGTCAGCCTAGCTCACAGCAACTCAAACTCTTGGCTCAAGCGATCCTCCTGCCTCAGCCTCCCGAGTAGCTGGGACTACAGCATGCGCCACCATGCCCGCTAATTTTTTTATATATTATTAGTTGGCCAATTAATTTCTTTCTATTTATAGTAGAGATGGCAGTCTCGCTCTTGCTCAGGCTGGTTTCAAACTCCTGACCTCGAGCAATCCGCCTGCCTCGCCCTTCCAGAGTGCTAGGACACAAGCGTGAGCGCGATCATGATTTTTGATCAAAGCCTGAACCTTTTATTTATTTTCTTCCTCATTTTTACAGGAGTGGGTAGATAGTCCTGGTGGTTTCTATTCCACTTTTCTACTCCTTTTGAAACCTAGATAGAAGGAAGTGACTTCATATAAATGTCTTTGGAATTCAGTCTTCTGATGGCAGAGAAAATTAAGTGGAAAGAGAATTTCAGATTTGGGAACTGATTATAGCTTTGTCACCTTTTTCTAATGGGCTATGTGGCTTTGAGTAAGTCACTTCACCTCTCTGGTCTCAGTTTCCTTACCTGCGAGTGAGGTATTAGAACTACATGATCTCAAATGTTCCTTTTAGTTTAAAACATCTAGTTTCTACATGATAACCCCACGAGACCACACTTATCAAATCTTCTGCAGGATGGCTAGAAGATTATCTATTCTTTTGTTACAGAATTCTTTGATACCTTCTTGTTGGAAGAATCTCCAGCTGCTCTTGATGATAGCCTAGGAAGACGACATGCTGCTTCCTCTCGACGCGAAGCCAGGCCCACTCGGAGCCTGGGCTCTCAGCCCTTCATGGAGACCGGGTCCCAGCAGGAATGGCAGTGCAGGAAATTGGCACCCAGATGGCTCCTCCACGTGAAGTTGTCCCGGGCTATGGGCTGCCGAGAGAACACCTGGTAGCCAGGTTAGCCCCCCGCCAGTCACCCGGGGCAGGGCAGCATGGTGCGGATTCAGAGGAGGAAGTTTCTGGCATCTTGCCTGTGCATCACGGCTACCGTCTTTCTGCTCGTCACACTCCAGGTACCAAGAATTTGGGTTGCATAGCGTTGATTCCTGGGCCTTTGCCATCTGCCTCTCCTGCTCTGTCCTCTTGTCTCAGAACTCCAAGTATTTTACTTTTTTCTTAATCCTTCAGGATCAGGGGTTTTTTTTGCTGTTTAAAGCAGGGAAAAATTTTTTTTTTAAAGAGATGAAGCTGAGTTTTAGTGAATGGTTTGTGCCAGGCAGAAACAAAGTTATTGAGAAGGGAGGACAGTTTGTGATTCTTGAAGGGACCTGGTTTTGGAGAAACAGAGAGTAAAGCTCTGTCTTACTGGGTCAGAATGGGATGGCCTCAAAATCTCCCATTGTTATCACTTTTGAAAGCCTGCATTCTCGAAGATTCACGCACTATTCTGAGAACAAGACAGTCTGTATCTTGCAGTGAATACAAAATACTAACATCTGCATAAATACAATTCTTAATATAATGCTGCAAGACCACACACTGTGTTTAGGTGAATGAATGAGATGTTTCTTCAGTCATTTCATTAATTTCCTCCAGTCAGTTATTCTGAACTTGGTTTACTGCTTTCAACTTCAAATAAATATTCAAAAGTGGTAGTGAGGCTGGGCTCAGTGGCTCACTCCTGTAATCGTAGCACTCTGGAAGGCCTAGGCGGGCGGATTGCTTGAGGTAAGGAGTTCGAAACCAGCAAGAGCAAGAGCGTGTCTCTACTATAAATAGAAAGAAATTAATTGGCCAACTAATATATATAGAAAAAAATTAGCCGGGCATGGTGGCGCATGCCTGTAGTCCCAGCTACTCGGGAGGCTGAGGCAGGAGGATTGCTTGAGCCCAGGAGTTTGAGGTTGCTGTGAGCTAGGCTGACGCCACGGCACTCACTCTAGCCTGGGCAACAGAGTGAGACTCTGTCTCAAAAAAAAAAAAAATGCTAGTGAAAGTATAGCTATCAGCTTGGGTATAGTTTGCACCCATTCAAGTACAAGTACCAGTTGTCTATTTCAAAATCCAAAGGACTTGTAAAGATGATTTGTGGATGTGGGGGGTTCAGGAGTGGGACTGGTGGAAAGTAGGTGTTCCCCGGGCTGCTTTAAGGGTCTCCCTTCTCCTGGTGAGGGCTGAATGAGATCGTGCCTGTACAAGCACATTGGCAGCCAGTCTGGCACGTACTTCTGCCACCTGCCGCTGCCAGATTGGGACTCTGGTCAGAGGAAGCGTTTGACTCCTTCCTTGTCTGTCTGGAGGTTTGCAGGTCCTGCTGCAGCCAAGGGCTGGACTTTTCTGCTTCTCTCTGTGGGAAATGATGAGAGAGCTTAGATCTTACCAGGCGTTGGCTTTGGCCCTGTTTCCAGTTATGAGGAATGCCCGCCTCTAAGCTAAGATGCTTTCCGTTTGATGTCAGAATACATTGCCATGTTTTTGATATGCATGTCATTTCTGCGTTTCCAGAGCGCAAGAAGTGGCCGGATGATTGGAGCTAAACCTTTGTCTGGCTCAGCTGCACTTTTGTCACCGACAGTATAGTTTGGGCTGTTTCCCAGTTCTCACTAGTATGCTAAATGCTTCAGTGTTCAGCATGGTGGAAATGCCATTTAAAAAAAAAACAAAACAACATTGAAATTGAAAAAATACAATACCTACAGAATCAGAACCATTTCTGTTTTGAGTGGTTTTTAGGCTGGGCAGATGAAATAATTTGTCACATGAGTAGGATAAAGCAGGGATTGAATAAAAAACATCATGTCGTGAATCCTATATCAGGCTGCTAAGGTTTCTGTAACAAAGTACCACAGACTGAGTGGCTTAAACAACCAAACAAAATTTGTTTTCTCACTGTTTTGGAGACTAGGAAGACCAAGATCAAGGTGTCGGCAGGGTTGTTTCTCTGTCCTTGGCTTATAGATGGCTATCTTCTCCCTGTGTCTTCCCATGATCTTCCCTCTGCACTTCTCTGTGTCCAAATTTCCCCTTTTTATAAGATGCCAGTCATGCTGGGTGAGGGCCCACCCATTTTAACTTAGTTACCTCTTTAAAGACCCTATCTCCAAATATAGTCACATTCTAAGGTACTGAGAGTTAGGACCTCCAACACGTGAATTTTGGGGATACACAACTCAGCTCATGACAGATTCTATAACATAAATTATTTAATTAATAATATTCTAAAAATGAATATGTAATGCTTACCTCCAGTTAAGCTAAAACATTGTGGTTGTCTGGAAGAAATCATTCATCTTAGACATTGTTTTCCATTCACATTGAGCTATATTTTGTGTCTACCTTCTACATTTTGGGAGTATATATACCTTTATTTATTTTTGAATTTTACTTTTTACTTGCACAAATAATTCAAGAATACATTTGTAGTATTTTAAAGTAAATCTCAGATAAAATAGCATTTCACCCGGATATATGTTAGTATTCATATTTCTTACAGATAAGAATTTTAAAAATTTAATGTAACCATATTACTACTATCACACCCAAGATAATTAACAATAATTACCCTCTGTGACCTAGGCCATGGTAAATTTTTCTCATTTGTCTCAAAAAAGTCTTTTTATAATGGATTGGTTTGAATCTGGAACAAACCAACCCCACACATTGTATTTAGTTGGTGTGTCTCAAGTTTTATGTTTTGATTTGTTTTTACCATGAAAGTTTCTTCTGCCCCACCATTTATTCCATGTCATGAATTTGTTGAAGAAACTGGGTCATTTGTCCTTTTGAATTTCCTACATTGTGGATTTGGCTGATTTTATCCTTGTGGTTTTGTTTAATGCATTCCTCTATTCTCCCATATTTCCTGCAACCTGGTAGTGCTATTTGAAGCTAAATAGATTTTTAAAAAGCTGTTTGGCAAAAGACTCTATCCTTAAAACAATTCCGGTTATTTGGAAATGAACTTACGCCTCGCACAGTAGACATGGATCAGAAATGTGGAACAAATTTTATCTTTGAAGTTATATGCCAGGGCTTTCTAAAAGCCCTTTAAGTGACTCGTTGTCACTGCAGGCGAAGGTCAGATGAAAAGATAGTTTGTGGCTAGGAGTCAACTCCATTCATCAAGCTACTGGGGAAGGGCCACAATGTTACCTTGTAAAAGTGCTGAGAAAGCTGTTGGCAACAGTTAGACTTTAGTTTTCAGTGGTGGTTTTGCTGCTGTAATGCTGACTTTGGTGTCACAGGTGATCTATGATATTTTACAGCTAATATAATTTTTTTTTTGCGTACTACTTGGCTTTCACCTAGGATTTCTTCGTGTGTGTGTATGTGTGTGTGTGTATATATATATGTATGTATGTATGTATGTATATATATATATATATATATATACATTTGGACTTGGACACCTTTGAGAATCTAATGACAGTTATGGGCCCTCCCCCGGAAGTGTAGACTCCACGCCTCAGTGATCAGTGGCCTTTGTCTAACACCAGGGGTAGCAAGCACATAAGAAAGCCACCACCCTTGGCTGCTAAAAGTAGGGTCTTAGGGGCACACAGCCCTCCATGGCTGACTGGTTGGAGGATTTAATGCATAAAAATGTGAACGTGCCTTACTTTAACTGCTTTATTTGTTGCCTGGTCTTGACTACCAAAGCCATTTGCATATGAAACAGATCAATCCTTTCTGTAACATATTTTTATAATGCCCTGTCAATATCAAATCTCAAAGCTTGATGAAAAGGCAGCACTGCTGGGGTTTCTTTTGCACCTACCCTGCCTTCCGATCGCTGTTAATAACGGCTTAGCTGTCCAGTGACCCAGACTTAGACTATCATGAAATAAATTTAAAAAATGTGATTTTTTTAAGTTAGTAGAAGCCTAGGACTCGTGGTCTACCATGCTGGTAACATAGACTCTAGGGAACTTTGACATTTGCTGTTACTTCACCATCTCAGTGTTATAGTGAGTTTTGGTAGAAACATAAAACCCATGTTATGACTCCTTTAATTGTCATAAGAAGAAACCAGTTGGTAATTTATAACTTATTTTCCCTATAGTAATCTCTGGCAGTAGTCGGGTAATAACCCTATCCTTGGTTTCGTTAAGACTTAAAACTATTTCTGGATGTTATATATGCTGACGAAATGGAGGGGAAATGTTCCATTGTAAGTGTTTAGTAGAATTATTAAGCATCTTGCTGGTAGGTATTTTGGGGGCTGTGTCCACACCCTGATCCCTGGCACCTGTGACTATGTTACCTTTTGTGGCCGAAGGGACTTTGCAGGTGGGATCGATGAGACACAGTTCAAGGTGGGGAGATTATTGTGAATTATCCACGTGGGCCCGAGGTGATCAATTGAGTTCTTAAAAGTGGAGAGCCCTTCCAATCCGTGGTCAGAGAGAGAGGTGACGGCAGAAGAGTTGGAGAGGTGCAGTGTGGGTGGTTTGAAGGTGGAGGAAGGGGGCCGTGAGTCAAGAATTGGGGGTGGCCTCTGAGAGGTAGAAAAACCTAGAAAGCAGATTCTCTCCTGGAGTCTCCAAAAAGGAACCTAGCCCTCCTGACCCGTTGATTTTAGCCCAGCAAGATCTATTTCAGACTTCAGCTTCCAGAACCCTATGCTAATAAATCTGTGTGTTTTTTTTTTCCTGTGTTGTTTTAAATGACTATTTGTGGTAATTTGTCACAGCAACTGTAAAAAATTTATAATAACGAATCAACACCTAAGTGGACATATAGGAGTAACATTTATCGGGTGTCGGGAGGGTGGGAGGGGGAAGGAAGGGATGGGTGTATACAACCATAACGAGGAAGATGTGCAATGTTTGGGGGATGGACATGCTTGAAGCTCTTACTCAAGGGGGGAGGGGGACATGGGCAATATAAGTAACCTTAACACTTGTGCCCCCATAATACGCTAAAAAAAAAACCAAAAAAACTTATAAGAGCCTCCGTCATCAAGAGGAATGGGAGATATGCAAAAGGAAATGCAACTGGAAATAATTGTCTTCCCTTTTAGGTAGTGGTGGAGCTGGGGAAATTTGAGAGGACGAAGTTTGGAAATTCCAATTTGCAAGATGGGCACGCGAAAATGGAGGAAGGGCCTGGACATCTGAATCCATTCCTTAAGAAAGAAGCTCCGGCCTTGCACAGGAAGAAAACATCGGGCAGCGACAGCTACCCCGTCATGCTCTGGTGGTCCCCGCTGACCGGGGAGACGGGGCGGCTGGGCCAGTGTGGGGCAGACGCCTGTTTCTTCACCATCAACCGCACCTACCTGCATCATCCCATGACCAAAGCCTTCCTCTTCTACGGTGAGTAGGGCTGCTGCCTTTCTCCCTTTGTTGGCTGTTGTCTTTCTCCAAGGCTGAGTCACTGCTCACCTGCAAAGAAAGAGATGGTGACGCTTCCCCCCCGAAAACACCTTGACTCACCTGATTTCCTTCGCGTGTGCTCCGTGGAAGGCTGGAGCACTTAGCAAATACAATACACAAACAGACCTGACCGACATCGACATCGAGGTGCTTTGCGGAGCCACTTGGTAATTACGAAGGAGAGTCGAGATTTCTTCTCACCTTTCTGCAGGGAGGTGTTGAGCTTACTGAATCTGGCAGTCAGAGCGTTGGGTCTTCCTTATCCTGCTGACATCAGTTCAGACTGGCACTTGTGACAACGTAGCCAGGAGATTTTGATGACTGCAACAGATGTTTAATTGGACAGAGGCCAAACATGACATTCTTTAATTTCTTTAATGTCAGATTAATCAGAAATAAAAACGAAGGGGTTGCTTAGCATCGGCTTTCCGAGGCAAGTTGGTGTTCGTCATTTCTTGGGGCTGATTGTATGTCATGCTGGGATGGAAGGGCGAGCAGAGCCAGGGAGGGGGAGGGAGCACGATGCCAGCAGCAATTAGAGATACCAGGCTCCTGGCTGGTGAGTGGCGGTGGGGGGGGGGAAACAGAGGAGCCAATGGACCGAATACCGGCAAGGTTAATCGCTTACGTTAGGAAGCCAGTGAAAGGAGATCTGCTGTACAGTATGTGTAGGTGTGTGTGTGTGTGTGTCTCTCTGTCTGTCTGTCTGTCTGTCTAATACTGGCCTGGGAGAGGCTTAACTGAGATTGGGATATGGGCCTGAATTGTTCTCAGTGTCCTGCCTAATGACGGCTTAAATAAAGCAGAAAATGGGTTCAGGAGGAATCGGGTGGTATATGCATGCCCCACTAGCTGGTCAGGGCTACTGGGCAGTGGATACTAGTGTCCCGGTATATGTACACATTCAGGGACATCCCAAGTATTTAAAAATCTAGATCCTGGGCCAGGCGAGGTGGCTCATGCGTGTAATCCCAGCACTTTGGGAGGCTGAGGCGGGAGGATTGCTTGAGGTCAGGAGTTCAAGACCAGCCTGAGCAAGAGTGAGATCCCATCTTTACAAAAACCAGAAAATTTTGCCAGGCGTAGTGGCACATGCCTGTAGTCCCAGCTACTTGGGAGGCTGAGGCAAGAGGATCATTTGAACCCAGGAGTTTGAGGTTGCCGTGAGCTATGATGACACCACTGCACTCCAGCCAGGGTGACAGAGCAAGATGGTTTCTCAAGAAAAAAAAAAAAAATAGTATCTATGAACCTTCCTGATTCCCCCCATGAAATGGAGCCTCTCTTCTCTAAATGCCCAAAGGGCATTTTATAGCTCCTTTATGTCATTTAATTGAGCAGCTACTATTAATATACGGCAGGCACGGTGCTAGTCATGAGGAATAGACAAAATAAATAAGGTAATGGTGGCATTTGGTCTCGTACGGTGTGATCTTCTCTTCCCGAGTAGAGTGTAAAGTTCTTGATGATTGGACATCAATTCATCTTTGTGCCTCCTCCCAACTCCTATATGTAGGTCAGTGCTTTGTATGCAGTAGGTACTCAGAAAATATTCAGAGACTTAGAGCCATAAAGAACCTGAGAGTCCAACCTCCTCTTTGTAAAGGTGAGAAGACTAAGGCTGAGGGAGGTTGGGGGTGTGCTAAGGTTGCACAGCCGTTAGCAGCAGAGTTGGGCGGAGAACCAAGGTGTCCTGACACCTGACTGGGTGTTCTTTCTTTCACCTAGACCGTATTTGAATGGACACTCATGAGCATAGTTAAACCTCAATATTTGGGTTTGGGGATTAAGGTGCATTTTATTTTTTTTCCTTTTGAGACAGGGTATCTCTCTGTCACCTGGGCTAGAGTGCAATGGCCTCATCATAACTCACTGCAGCCTCAAACTCCTGGGCTCTAGTGATGCACCTGTCTTACACTCCCGAGTAGCTGGGGCTACAGGCGTGCACCACCGTGCCCAGCTAATGTTTGTATTTTTTTTTTTGTAGAGATGGGGTCTCGCTATGTTGCTCAGTCTGGTCTCGACCTTCTGGCCTCGAGTGGTCCTCCCATCTTGGCCTCCCAAAGTGCTAGGATTACAGAGGTGCATTTTTTTTTTTTTTTAACAAACTGAATTAGAAATTCAATTCATTAATAAGGTCTGTTGAGCAAAATAGAATGAAGACAGCACACTTCGCTGTCTGAGGGTTCCAAATTCTAATTAAATAGGTCACTTAAAACTGCAGATGGGACTCTGGTGCAGCAGGATTGAAAAAGAAGAGGCAGAAAAAATGGTTCAAAAGCTGACCTAATTCAGGGTAAAGAAAACTCGAAGGATTATGTGACCTCAAAGCTTTTGTATACCAGAACATTTTTTGTTTGTTGTCTTTCCATTTGAGAACTGCACAATTCTCTGAAACAAACATTAATGAATCATGAGTGAGTACGTGATTTTCTTAAATTAAATGTCTATAGAGTTGCTGCAGTTAGTCTTAGAAACTGTCATTGTGGTGATTTAAAAACATAACTGCATTTTTTTTTTTGGGGGGGGAGACAGAGTCTCACTCTGTTGCCCAGTCTAGAGTGCTGTGGCGTCAGCCTAGCTCACAGCAACCTCAAACTCCTGGGCTCAAGTGATCCTTCTGCCTCAGCCTCCCGAGTAGCTGGGACTACAGACATGCACCACCATGCCCGGCTAATTTTTTCTATATATATTTTTAGTTGGCCAATTAATTTCTTTCTATTTATAGTAGAGACGGGGTCTCGCTCTTGCTCAGGCTGGTTTTGAACTCCTGACCTCGAGCAATCCGCCTGCCTCGGCCTCCCAGAGTGCTAGGATTACAGGCGTGAGCCACTGCGCCTGGCCAGCTAGGGCTTATTTTATGGGTAGGTCTTATTTTTGGGGAAACTCGGTACCTGGCTTCCAGGATCTCCTCTCTCCTGGGAGATGCAGTCATGGTGGAGACCTAGGAAGGGTGGCAGGACCTGGGAAATCTGAAAGGCAGACATTTTTACTTAAAGAGAATGAATATTGCTTAAAACAATCCTGAGAGGCCAGGTTTAAGGTTTTTATGTTAGATTGGATTGAATCTATTGTTTTTCCTTGTTATGCCCTGTGGATGGGGACTCCTGAGAAAAACTGGATTAGTTTGCACAGAAGATACACTTCATTACCCCTGCAGCATTTGAGTACTGTGTTAGCAAATTTTGCAACCTGTTCGCTGAACAAATTACCTTTTCCTACAGCTTCTTTCATCTCAGCTGCGCTTTCTTTCCTGAGGTTTCTCAAGCTATTTAGACAAGACCCCTGTGGGCCCCATAGCTCGTGGCCAACATTTTTCAGGGACTATTTAGCACCAAAATGGAATAGAGACAGCCCCCATTTTTCACAGCTTCACATTTTTCTACTCTTTCAATACCATCCACAGTATTGATTTGCTTAACAGATATTTTGTGGCTCGTCTGTGATTAACAAGCTTCCTTATCTCAGCTTAAAATATTACAAGCCTTTAGACCAGGCATCCTCAAACTATGGCCCGCGGGCCACATGTGGGTGTTTTTGCCCATTTGTTTTTTTTTACTTCAAAATAAGATATGTGCACTGTGCATAGGAATTTGTTCATAGTTTTTTTTTAAACTATAGTCCGGCTCTCCAATGGTCTGAGGGACAGTGAACTGGCCCCCTGTTTAAAAAGTTTGAGGACCCCTGCTAGACAAAGCTTTATAGAGACTACTTATGCTGAACTAATTAGCGTACAGAATCCTATAATGATCAGGGAAACCCGGTAACCCTCTGCCACCCTGTTCGCAGACGTATGCTCCAGATCAACCACTTCCTCTCGCCTTGGCATGACCGCAGTTACATCAGGTGAGACCTATAGAAGCTGGGTGGCCATGGATCACCTACGAAATACTGAAAGGCAGACAGTTTACACTGTATTATAAAGACCTAGATATCAGCTGTCAACGAAAACACTGAGAGTCCATGCCAGAGTTCGGCTGGATTATGTCAGCCTATTGCCAGGATTGAAAGTGCCCCAAATTCATGCTTCATCCCTGGTTAGCCCGTCGGACTGGTAACCTAGACTGTAGAAAAACGTTGATTATATTTATCTAGCAGACAGAAGGTAAGCACTCAGACTCTCCGCGCGCCAAGCATACAGAAGCAGCTGTCTAGTGCACTAAAGGCCAACCTCAACGCCATCAACGCTCGCTGCACAAAACATAGCATTACCATTTCCCCTGCACCTCTGCACACCGGTCCTCTTTCCCTAACAGCACACGATTTCCCCGTTCACATCAGCTGCGCTCTTGCATCTTTCCACACGTGTCTCAGCCTATACTGCCACATAGGAACCCTGTTCCGCTCCTAACACAGCCAACCCGTGCCTGAACATTCACTTCAGGCCACTATTCAACGATTTTCCCGTGTACCCACTCAAGCCAATCGAGATCCTCAAGAGACCACTCCCCACTACGTTTTCTACTACGCCCTCGACGCAACTTCTTCTGCACCAACTTTTCAATACCATTCGCTGCAGCCCTAATTTACACAATCTCACTGTATCTGTAAACACAATCATTGTTCTCACTTCGCTCGACATCACATCGAACCCTAAGTGGCCTCTCTACTCACAGCCTTACAAAACATGTATCAACACACCTTTCCATGCCACAACATTTCTGTGAAACTCTGCACACCTGGTCCACCTGCAACCGATTTATGCCACTCCCTCTAACATCGCCCTCGGCCTATCCAATTGTTGTCTATATTCTGCCGCATGTCGTCATTTTTTACTTCAACAATCAAAGGATTATGGTGGCACATGCATGTCGATAACGCATTTGGTTAATGTCAAGCCCTGTTAAACCTCATAATGCTCTCAATGTCTGAGCGACAGTGAATGTTGTTTAAAAAGTTGAGGAACTGCTAGAAAAGCTTATTTCTTAAAACAAATGACT